CCCCCCCACCACGGTGGGTTGATCGCGATACTGCTACGCGCTGCAGTCGCATTTTTCCCGCGCCGAAAAACGCTAATTAACACGGAAGCGACGACGGCTCGGCATTTCGATTTAATCAAATTCGCTTGACATTCGATCTTCTGCCTCGGTTCGGCGCATTTGCCTTCCGAGGCTGCCAAAGTAACTTTGCGTACGTTCCTGGTTATCTATTTTGTAGAGTCTTGCGGAGTGATTATTGAAATCCATAGACAAATCGATAGATGAGGAAGACGTAGGGGTATTGAGCAATCCTATTGGCTGAAACGTGTAGTTCTCATAGACTAAGGGAAAAATAATGGACTGAGTTCAGGGTCTCTTGTCGGTTGCGTTAGTTAGTCTATTACTTACCTCCTTTGTGCATTGCAACCACCCGCTTCCACCAGAATCCCTCTATATCCCTTTTGTCTTCTATGTCCATTGCTTTGTCTATCAATTTCATTAATCAGGCCGCTGGATGAAGTATTTTCATACTCTCTGTAACTAGTTATTTCATAAGTTTTGGCCTTTTTATGGAGCTCTTTTTTGAGACAATAGTAAGCAAACCCCGCTTAAATGAATTCGTATCATCGAGCAACAACATGGCTTGAAGTTTTCACAGAAAGTTCTTTATAAAGAGTAGAAAAATCACTGAATTTTTTTTTTAAAAAAAATGACGCCCAGTAGTTTTTGATGTAGAAAATAATTTATGACAGGAAGTCTACAACGCCACAAACCGAGATTCCCATTTTTGCATTTTCATCATAGATTTTATCACTACCAAATTTTAAGGGTTTCTTTTGCAGTATTCCAGGCAGAAATTCAGTGTAATTACATTTTTCTTGGACCTTTCAGTCTTGGTTAAATGATATTACGCGACAAAAAACCTGCAACCTTGCATCCGCACCGACAAAAAAAGGCTGCCTTTAAAATATTCCCACCCGAAGCCTGGAACAGAATTCGATGGCTAGTTACGATCAGTGTTCCAGACGGAGAACCCCCTTGCGTAACGCTACTTCCTGCATCGAGGAGCATTTGAATGAAACACGCGTGAGTGCCGCGTCAGTGATCTGGATCGGCCGCGGCGGCCCGAAATAAAAAGCTAATTACGTTTATGACACTTTCATCCACACGCGGCGGGAATAGGTAGCTTTTATGATCTTCACATAGTGGAGCTTTACGATCGTCCGAATGCGACTGGTCCTCACACTCGAGTCGTAAAATTAGATCACTCGAAGCCGAAGCGTAATAATGGCGAGGACCTGGACCTCTCGAGACGAGCTGATAAGCTACGAGTGAAAAAATACTATCTCGTGTTTGAAAGAGTGAGGTGTGCTCGATCGTGGAAGTTCGCGAAATGTTGCGTGAGAACTCGGTATGTTTTTCTGGCGGCTGTCGGGTATCGAGCATTGTTCTCGTCTATGAGAATGTAATGCAGGGTTTTCCAGTTGTGAGTGCAGTTCAGCGATTTTACAAGGTGAATACGCTTCCTGGTTTTCTCTAGCATATGTGAACATGTTGGTGAGAACTTGAAGGCCAAAAAAGCACAGAATGGTAGACAAAAATTTCCTTCTTATCCCACAAATGATTCCTTTTTTTGCTACTCGAACCAATAGACATTAAAACCGATACCTACCAATATCAGCATACAGTGCTACGGGAAGGCTGTGTCCATCGACACTGAATGGCCAAAAAATACAAGGCCAACTTGATTGACCATTTATATGCGTCGAAATTCGCAATTGGGCGGCGACAGACAGCGTGGCGGCGAGGGTGTATCATGAACACAGAGCGTTGCCAATTTGCTGGGAGAAATAATTATTATACCTATTTATTCTCATGGGATCAGAGAAAATACCCGAGTCCTGCGCAATATGACAAATCGTCTATTCGTGTAAATGATGTGAAAATGATCTTACTTATTTCACCCTCAAATACAATGAGAGGACAATGAATTGAACAAAGGCCGAATTTTTTCAAGAATTAAAGTTTTGACCAAAGGGCTTCGGTCTCTCTGCAAATTGACTAGATTGCAGAATTTGACTCAAACATCAACAAAAACTGCATTTATTTTATGTAAGTTGGGTCATTTGGAGGTCATCATCAAAGTCCCCATCAAACAAAGCTTGTGGAACCAATCAGAAAGTTTTACCGACATGACAAGATGCTCCATGAAAAAAGATGTACTCTACTGAAATAAATCAGTATAATTAATTTTTGAGGTTACAACACTGAAGAAGGTTGCAATTATGCTACACATACATGTTACTGCGTACCCTCGCGGAGTTGCCATGTAGGAATGTAATACAATCAGAAACCGGTCTAAGGAAAGTGAAGTCGGTTACGCGCCAGTAATTTCACTGTCCACGTTGTCAACTTCTCCAGTAAAATACGCTATTATCCTCCCTATTTTGAAATGAGATACATTACGGGATGTGTATAACGTTGTGCTGAGTTGTTTGATTTATGTTACGAGTTTTGTGAAAAATATTTCTAATTTGCCTCGGTTTTGTTTAGAAATGTTGAATCATTTTACATTTGACGATTTAGTATTCATGATACAAAATCTGGATTTATCCATGCACACTCACCGTGCACAAAGTAGTTCTCGTGAAAACGGTAAATCCAAAAAAAAAAAAAAAAATTGAAGCTACCTACCCGCTTCACGGTGGCGTAAAAGGTGACAAATAGTCGGATTTTTTCTTCTCTCCCCTTCGCTTGTCCTACTCTTTGGTAGGTTTAAATGAATATCAATAATATAAATAAGTATTCGTTTTAAAGAGATCAGCAATCCGAAAACTACATTGATGTGAATTTGAGACTTGAAAGCGCGAGTTTTGTAATTTTTTGTCTGTGTCTGTTTTGTAATTGTTTGTCCCCAACAAAATTATCTACATCTCAGTTAGAATGAATTACTCGAATTAGTGAAATTGTTCCTAAATATATTCGTGTTTTAGGTTCAAAAATTAATGAATGCTCTAAAGAAAATTAAAAAGAATCTGAAGTTTTTATTTATTTACACAATTGAAATACAATAAAGATTTCATAAAAATATGAATATTTCAGACCAACTCGTTTACATTGCGAGCTCCGCCACAAGTATCACGTCCTCAACTAAGCGGTGTGCCAAATCTGCGAATGTGTTTTGACAACCTAAAAAACTATGTTTTGCCCACTAAAAGGTCTTGAAAAAATGAAGTACCTTTTAACTACCATACACAATGACGTTTTATCCATTTGATATCATACACGGAGCACAGTTCAAAAATGTTAGTTATATGTGTTTAAATTTGTGGTTGTCGTTCGAATTGTATTATTTTTCAGTGAAAAAGAGCCGTTAAGATTGTAAAGTGGCTTTGATGTTGAGTCTCTTGATACCTGAAGCGTAATTTCTGGTTGCCATCTATTTCTCTTCTCGATACGAAACGCTCCGCATTTAGGTTTGTCATTTTGGGCTTTGTGCGAATAACTCAACACGCACCATGTTTCTCCACACCAAAGATTCGCGATCACTTTCTTTGTCACATTCTCGACCTCATTTTGTAGCTCTGATTCAAAAGTCAAAAGACCCTCTGTACTGGAAACTCTCGCGGGTGGCTCCGCTCCTCCAAGCTGGACCTTAACGGCAAACCCAACTTTTTTATTCCCCGCCACAAATACTAGATCAAAGATGGAAGGTTTCTCGGTTTCCCATTCCTGATCTGATGGCCCCGTTTTCACGTAAGGAACAAGACACTGTGGAGGAGGGTTTAGCAGATGAACCCTCACTGTATGGGCGAATAGTTCCTTGGTCCTATTCGGTTGGCTGTGGTGCTCCGACAGGACGAGGAGTGTGATCAAAGTCTCCGTGAATTTGCGCATCCCATCGATCCCGGTCAAACCTTTAAATATGTCAACCCTGAAGTTATAGTTACAATGGCAAGGGGAATTCTCCGCTATTGCGTCAAACAGTAACTTTTTCAAATACTGCCTCACCTAGAATTACGGAATGAGACAGAATTAAATTTAAGAACTTCTCGTATTTGAAGAAAACACTTGCCGGTAAGGCGCAAGGGACTACAGTTTGCATTGCATTACCAAAGGGAAGAGTGGGAATAAAATTAGTCCTCATTGTTCATTATTACTATCAGTTTTGATTCATCTCTGAATTGATTGAAATTAGATCCGAATCCTGCTTTCATGTAACTGTTCATGAAAAGAAAATTACGCTGTAAACAAGGCTCATGCATGGACAAATCGACGGTGAAACTACCAAACCACGTATCTCGGTTTGCGACGTCGCAGACTTCCTGTCATACTTTATTTTTTAAATGAAAAACTACTTAACATCCAGTCTTGAAAATTTCTGTGATTTTTCTTCTTAGGGCGGAGAAAATTCCGTGAAAATTTCAAGGAATGATATTGATTTGGTCTACTTCAAAAAAATAAAATGTGAGCGTAGATTTTTAAACACCGCAAACGAGATACGTGGTTTGGTAGTTTCACCGTCGAAATGTGGTCTCATTTGGAGATTATAGCAGAGAGACGGAAGACTATCGAGCATTTTGGCTCTGAATAGTTTAAGGGTTTAAAGTTTGGTGCTTGGTCTCACCTCCAAATTCGGCACCCTGAACGTATGCGTTGCTCTCTTAATATTTAAGCCTTCGTAGCTCAAATAACCGCAGTTGTTCAGAAAATTCAGGACATCGAAAGCTGCCCCATTGGTGCAGCGTGATTCGAGTGAGGGGTTTTGAAGATCTTGCAGAAGAATCGTTGAGTTCGGCAGGGTTCCGTGACCATAGTCCATCCAGAATTGGCTAGGATTCCACCACGACTCGGGAAATTCACCTTTCCTTAGGCAGAGCATGATATGTTGACCAAAACACTCCGGTCGTAAGGTTGGTTTAAAAACTTCTAAAGGGACCAATTCAGTCCAGTAGGGCCTGTAATTTATATAAAACGCCGGATATTATATTCTCATTAAAAAAATAATGTATTGATTATACTTATTTTATTTAAATTAAACACCACGCATACGCTAAATTTTATATGAGTTCATTACGTACCTGAATTCTTTGGTGTCATCTTCAGCCAAAAATCGAAACACTGAGAATGGATTGTAGGCGTTTGAAGCGTGGAAGCCTCCGTACCAAGCCTTAATATTTTCTTTATAGTGCGTCAACGCCATTGTCCGGAGAAGTGTCGTGACCTCAACATCGGTTAGGACAAAAAATGTATCCATTAGCTCGTCGTAAGCTCTTGGAAAATATTTGTACAGTTTAGAAGCGTGGAATGGTTGCAAGACACCCATGGCAAGGGTCCTGTAGGTTGGTTCAGCCCTTGCACGCAAATCCCAGTCAGGCAGAGCTCTTAGTATGTCACCAACCTAGGAGGTAAATAATAAAGTTTTGAACTTTTATGTTTGTTTTACGTTGTATAAAAGATGATTAATCTGGAGATGAGATAAATATTTCGTGGCGCAAACGTTACTCACTTTTTAGAAACTCAACTATGGATCCCGTATTTAAATCAAACCACCTAATCGCTGTATAAAAAATGAAACTTTGCACAGTTCTGCCTACCTCAAACAGTTTCTCCATAGAACGGTCAGAATGCTGTTTGGGATCGAAAATCAGCTCCTGAAGTTGCGAGTCCATGTTGTCAATTAGTGCAATGGTGTCTCTTTGAAAGTGCTGCTTTAAGAGTCTCTTCAAGAGCCCTATACCCTCTCGCGGTCCAGACCCCACTTGAAAATGTGCCCTAAGGATATCCTGCGTAGGGTTCAGGAATAGCGTCATGCGATCCTTGTCGTGAGACGATAGCAATGGAGATTTCAGCAGGTATGAGTGATCTTCAAATGCTGCTTTTATTGGGCCAGTTAGGAGCTTCTGTGTCAAGGAGTGCCTATCATAAAACATTAAAAAAATTGGTGAAAACATTTTTAACTCTCTAATATATTGACAAGAAACTGCATGAAATAGACTACACTACGGTTATGTCATACAGCATGGTGATGGAGGGTAAAGTGTGACAATATAAATAGTCTTTAAAATTACTATTTCAAGCTGAAGTTCATCACTTAATATCACACCGCTTCATATAACATTCGAATTTAAAGCACTCATTTCTCATACCATATTGATTAGTTTTCCTTTAAACTTTGATTCGCCCTGTTTTTAAAATGCCTACCGAACAAATACGCAAAGGTGCAATTTATGCAAAATACTTTGTAAATATTATTTAACAACCTTCAAACACTGTATGGAGCACACCATGAATACAATTTTTTCCAGTATTTTTAATCGAAATAGTCAGTCACTCTGCAGGGAAGTGAAGAACAATTCTCACCAGGAACATGCCTGACCTATCATAGGTCTTGACACCCATCATATCTAGATTCAAAAATATAACTGGATACTCCCCGAAATGTTTCTCGAAGAACTTCTTCCTCCGAAAAGTGTTCAAGAATTTCCCAGAGCTAGGAACAATCTCAGCGAACATTTTATAGTTCTTGTGCGTGCATTTGTCCGTCTTCATGGTTCCATTTGCGAAAACATCAATCTCCGCAAACTTCCGCACCATGTCCAAGCACGTGGATTTTCCAGAACCACGAGGGGCAGTGACCAGCATATGTCGCGAGCGACCCGAGAGGAACTTCTGGATCAAAAACGTCTTGTCCACGAATATTTCACCATCTCGAAGTCCATCGAAAGGTTTGAAGGTTAGCTTGGCTCGACCAAACACCTAACATTGAAATAAAGCAATGAATAAAACGGTGAGCTAAATTTTTGTCAGTAAGAGGAGGGGCAGTCATAAGTAATAATAAGAGCATGAAATAATTATGGTCTATGTTTTATCGTACAATAATCTTTCAATCGTGTTTTGGCCGGGAAGTGTATTATGATCAACTGGTCTAATTGTTTTACTTAGGCAATAGTTCTCTGTATAAGCTTCGGAATAAGGGCTTAAGGGCTTATCTTAACCTAGGCTGTATGTTCTGTCAAATCAACGTGTTTTATGGAAAAAATAATGCAATGGTCATGTAAGTTCCGTTAGAATATCGCAGGAAAAATGACATCAATTCTTGCAAAATTACATATAAGTTTAAGGGAGATTAAAACTTACCAACAGATTTAAGATTGAGAAAAAACTAAATTTCGATTGTGAAAACATTTTGGTAGCTATATAGGTTTTTAGAACTCAAAAATTACTAATAGAAGAAACGTGTAGGTAATACGGTGGCTATACTTTTTATACCATGAAAGTGATTAAAAACAAACAGATGATGAACAAGCATCTCGAACAATTCATTTTTGATAAGATTTGGTTACATATTGCTCTCTTATATCTATGAAAGTATGGGGAAACAAAAACAGTCATTATTTCATTTTCATCAGATGCTGTTAGGCAATTATTATTGAACCTCAGAAACCTACATATTTTATAAAATAGTCGAAGGTAAATAAGCTCACCAGGAATTTTATGCTCTTTTCAACTGCAGACCGTCTGGTATGTATACCTAAGTGATGAGATCTCTGCGGTTCATTAAGTTAGTTATTTAATTATGTTAATTTAACAAAACGATCACCAACTACCTGTAGGAAAGAATATTTGTTCTCCGTTGGATTGTGAGAATGGACTATCGTGTATCGTATTATGATCGAAATGATGCGACGACATGATTTTTCTACCTTCTCATTTTGAAACGATAGTGAGCTCCATGAAAAAAGGTTTTGTAATTTACGTTCAAAAGTAAGATATGCTGTTTAAAGATTGTGCATAGAGTACATTTTGAACTACGCACTTGTTTGACCCTCACGCGGTTTCGAATTGACTGGAAATTTAATTAATTTAATTAAATAAATCTAATTAATTTAATTTTGAAAATATGAAAATAAACTCATCGGGAAGTTCTGATAGGGACTTCCTATTGATTACTGTAATAAGATCGTGTATAAAGTCAACTATATAATATACACAATGCGCTAACATCCTCACAAAAATATGGGTGCAATTGTATGCGCAGCGTTTGAGACTCCTGCTTCGTGCTAAGGAGGAAAGGGGGAGGGGGCTGGCGGTGTATGGTTCGCAAACGCTCAGGATATACCACTTTCTTCCACTCAGTAACTCAGCTCTAGTTTCATACTTGTAACCCTTGAAAATCCCGAGTCGCCGTTTAGCGCCCTTATGGCAACAGAGCTTAGCCTTGATCTTGGGGACGGGAGAGGGGGCGAGGAAATGCGAGCAACGAGCAAGGCGTGTAATGACCCGCTCGTAAGCGGCGACGTCGACGACGTGCTTGAAAGCGAAAGTGCAAGCTCATTTCACCCGAGATGAAGCTGCGCTGGACGATGGACGAAGGTGCGGCCCCTGGCCGGCAGGTGAGGTCGGTTCCGTTCGATATTCGCTATTACGGTAGATGATGTCATCGCTCGGAATTTTTAGTGCTGTCCGCTCTCTGCATCCTAAAATGGACCAAATTGAACCAACAAGGGCCTGTCTAAGGATATAGGGAGAATCTCGTGGCTATTTGGATGCTAAAGAGAAAGAGGTCTATTTAGTCTTTTCCTGGACGAAGGCTCGTAACTCCGTCCCAAGGTTGCAAAATTGACTTAAAAACATTAAATGTTTTACAAGAGTATACTTGTAAAATTAAAGTTCACCATTTTACTGATTTTTGCATGAGATCCGGGGTAAAAATATTAAAATTTTCAGCTAGAAATGGCGAAGATTCCTCTGGTGAAAACGCAATATACGAGGGGAAATTTCGCAACACTGAAATGTAGTTACGTTCTTTCGCACGGGGAGCGACGTTGACCCCGATCGATCGAAGGTCCCACTGGGAAAAATGGCATTGTGTTCTCGAGGGAAATTTTACCCTTCACCCCCTTCCTCCGTCTCACTTTCATCCTTTAGAATAAAAAGGACGGAAATTCAGCGAGTTCTAATCTCTTCTAGGTTGAATGCTTGCATTGGCAAGGCAAGAAAATAGTAAAAAGGAGCAAATTATTTAATTTAAATTGAAAATTAAAATAGAATAAAGCAGAAAGTTTTAGCACTTTAATGAAGGGTTTTCATCGGAGATTGGGGTTTTGAAGCTGGTCGTCGTAAATTAATTCAATTTGCGCTGAAACTTTTCTCTCTCTTTTTTCTTTAGTCTTAAATTTTATTTCAATTCTCTCTATGTATATAATTATAAGTGCTTTTTTCCATTTTTTTTAAATTTTTTCTTTACGAAATTATTCCTTCATTTTGAAAACATTTATATTTTTAAAACGTGACAAATATTTGTAAAACATTTTCCAAGCGACATTAATCTTAATGAGCCGCAGTTGTACCGACAGAAACTGCAAAAATGAATAAAAGAGGGGAAAAAAACAAGGAGCACGCAATCTTTAGTTTTAACACATTTGTACATCGATCTTTTAGAGTCAAATACGTCAAATTTTGAGCGTTTCGTTGCGCGTACACCTCGCTGCAGCACAATAAAAGCACAAAATGTAAAAGAAAAAATTAAA